GGCATTTGTTGCCCCTTTATAGACTGGAATAAGGAAAATCACAGTGGACTGAATTCAAGTTTTCATACTTGAAGTCTAGCTGTGATTTTTAATTTTCCTATGTTTTTATTTTTTAAAAGATGCTTAAATGGCTGCTTTGAAAGATGAAAGGCAGAGCCAGTGAGATAGCTCATCAGACTAAGTGCCTGCTTGGCAAGAGCAGAGACCAGGGTTCAATCCTCCACACTACATGCCGTGCTGGCCCCACCCCAGGGCAAGCTGAGCTGGCCAACAAGACCAGATCACTATGAGTCCAAGATGCGTAGTAAGACAAGTACATAAAAAAAAAAAAATTAAAGGCAGCTCAATCGCTAATTTAAAAGATATAGCCCAGGACCAGGAAAGATAAAAGAACATTGAGTAAGTAATACCTTTGCCTTTAAGTTTACAGAAATTAACAATATTAAAGCATGCAAAATAAATGACCATATGAAATAGTAGATTTCTATAAGCCATAACAAAAGCCAATTACATTGATAAAAAGAGAAAGCTACTCTTCCTTTTATAATCTGTAGGCATTAGTTCTGTCCGGGAAGAGTGTGGGGGACAGGGAGATGGAGAAAAGTGGTTAGCAGGTAAAAGGGGGTAGGAGGAATAACTTCGAATGTCCTGTAGTACAGTGGGGTAACTGTGGTTGACAACACTTAATTGTATGCCTCAAAATAACCAGCAGAGAGGACTTTTGAATGTTTCCAATGCAAAAAATAAAATAAAATAAATGTCTGAGGTGACAGATACAACAATCACTCTAATCTGATCGCTAGGTATTATACAGCGGGCCCTGGAGTTATGACCAGCCTTACATGTGGACAACTTGAGTTACAACCAAACTTTTAGTTTTAACTTACAACTGAAATCTTGAATTATAGCCCAAATTCTGGCCACTTGTGCAGTTGTAAACAAAGACCTGTGATGCCAGAAAATCATATATAAACATAGGTAAGGATCAGTCTGAGCCTACATGCATGTGTTTGTGGATGTGATTTCAGTCAATGTTTTATATAATTGCTATGATTACTGCTATCAAAATGACACCCCAAAAGCTAGAGAACAAACTAAGGAAGGAAGGGAAGGTCAAGAATGCAACCATAATAAAAAGAACAAGGAAATCGTAGAGAAATGTGAGAGTGCCATTTATGCGACTCATCTGCCTAAATTGTACAGCGTGTCAAAATCCACCAGTTCAACAATCTTATAGAGAAAAGATTTGTGTGAGGAAGCTAGTGTTGCTAAAGGTATTATTCAAATTTGTAAGTCACAGTCACCAGTATTCAAGGAGGTAGAAAGAGCATTATTAGGGTGGATAAACAAAAGGGAGATGGGAGGTTAAAACCTGAGTCTATAATTTGTGAAAAAGTTAGGGCTATACATGCAGATCGCATAAATTGTAATCCATCAACGAGTGATAACGGAGAAACATCTCATGCTGGGAAGTGTGGCTTCACAATCTTCCAAAGCAAGAACTGGGGTTTATAGTGTAACTTGGCATGATGAGGCAGCCAGTGCTGATAAAAGAGCTGTTGAAAATGACATACACCACTTTGAATATGATACACAGAAATGGCTTTTGCTCTCATCAAATTTCCAACTGTGATGAAACTGATGTTTCCTGGAAGAAAACACCCAGGAGAACATACATTACCCAGGAAGAGAAGAAAATGCTGGGCCACAACTCTATAAAAGATATGCGAAGCTTATCGCTATATGCCAAGATAAAATCAAGATAAATCAAGATAAAATCTTGTGACCACAAGATAAAATCTCTTTTGGTTTAGCACTCTCAGACTCCTAGAGTATTCATAAAGCATGAAGCCATGAAGAGTAGTCCAGGGCCAATGTGGACATCTAATACAGAAACCTGGGTCACAAGAGTACTTTTTTGTGCGTGGATCAAGGAGACTTTCTGCCCTATTGTAAAGAAATAGCTAGAGGACAGAGATTTACCACTAAGGCTCTCACCATGGGCAATATTCCTACTTACCCACAAGACTTGAAAGAACTGGCAGAAGAATTCCTGTGGCTCTCAGTCAAGTTCCTACCACATAATACAATTCCTTTACTAACCAGCAAGTTATTTCTAATTTCACCTAAGGGGTGCTTTACAAGGCTCAGAATGCATGGGTATTTCCATGATTTCTTATGGGAAAAACAGTCTTGCCTTGGAACCAGTTTTATTTACAGCCGGCCCTCGTGAATGAATAGAACTCATAGGCCAAGGGTCCACTGCATAGTATTTTGGAACAATACACTATATCCCATAATATGTATATTTACTGTGTGAATTAAAAATAAAAAAATATATTTAAAATGCAAGTAAAGGTTCTCAATTACAGAATTACTTACTTTTAGGGGAACTCAAGTTGTCCTTTTAATATCTGACTTAATATTTTATAAACTGAAAAGGTTATTTATAAATGTTGTATTTATATTGCATTCCAGTAAATTATATATAAAAGCAGGGGAGGATGAATTTATGGGGCTTGTGGGGAAAGCTGTGCTTAGACAGTAATAATTTGAGAAAAGAAAGTAATAATTATAGCTGATGTTTACCAATCAAAACATTTCATGGGCTGGCTGTGGTTGCACATGCCTATAATCCCAGATTCGAGAGGTTGAGGCAGGAGGATTGCAAGGTCAGCTTGGGCTACATAAAGTAAGTTCAAGATTATCCTGAGCTACATAGTAAGATCCTGTCTCAAGAAAAAAAAAAGAAAGAAAGAAAGAAAGAAAGAAAGAAAGAAAGAAAGAAAGAAAGAAAGAAAGAAAGAAAAAGAAATAACTCACAAAAAGCAAAAATAAGGTCATTGAGGGAAAGGAATGGGCCAAGAGTAAAGAGAAAGACAGCTATTTTCTGCTATGGTTTCTCTTTTTGGAGCACAGTGGGGGCTAGCAATAGAAGTCTTAAGTTTTGTGTAGATGGGATTTTTCTCAGATTATTAATGGACTCAATCCTTTTTAATTTCCTCTTCAGCATCTGATGCAGAGGGAAAATTCACTGAAACTTGATGGTGGAACCCTGGTAATATCAAGTGTTCTCACTCAGGTTTAGGGTAATCACTTAATATTTGTTTAAAAAATAAGTAATTTCAATTTTTAATCTGTCACAAAGGAAATCCTATAAAACATGCTTTCCAGCACAAAGCCCTAAATATTTGTCATAACAATATCAAGGAGGCTCCACCCCCTCTTACCTCAAGGAAACTTCATGTACCAAGTCTTCTGCAGTTAGTGAGTTAGTGCTCACTTGTTGAGGCAGCAGTTTGTTTGGACTTGGTCTGTTAATTTTGGGAGATAGCAGTAGCAATCTCTTGGGGGCCAAGTCAAGTAGGCCAGGGTTCAAATCTCAGTTTTGTTGTTTACCTGAGAGATCTGGGCCTGGACCTCCGTGGGTCTCATTCTCCTCTCAATATGGGATATTGCTAAACATTCTAAGGTTGTGGATAGCATAGAAGGGTTCAAGTTGTATTTTCCTTAAAATTTAGAGGAGCCCAGCATGGTACATCTCCAGTTATGAGACCTGACTGCTCCACTGTGGCACTGAATTATATACGGCTCATCGGGTATCTTAGCAGACCTCCCACACCACGGTGTTGCCTTCTAACCAGGAGCCACCTTCAGTGTTAGGAAGAGAGTGGCAAGGCTGCTGCATGACTTTGCTGAAAAATGACAAATGTACTCTGGCCAATGTGCCTGATTTCTCTGCTTTAACAAATTCCTGACTTCCATTTTCTTTTAACTTTACCTTTTTCTTGCTCTCAAAGAAGCAAAGCAAAGCAAAACTTCCCAAAGTAAATAGAAGATATTACACTCTATAATATGACTGTAATTCAGTGACATCTGGCTTTAATTTAATATTGCAAATTATTAAACCATGCCAGAAGTGACATCTATAGACATTGCCACATGCCTTGCTTTTGTGGACTAGATGAGCAGTTCGGGGATCACACTTGCATAGCATTTGCCTTTGCTAATATCTCAAGAGAATTATGAAAATCTCCCATCTTTTTCTCATTCCAGGGCTTTATCCTGTATGTGCAAATCCTGCATAGTGCTAGCGCAACACTATGTGAGATGGAAAACCCTTTACGGATTTGCAGAGAATAGGTCATATGCTAGAAGGATTTCCTTAGTCTTATAGCTCTTGGATTCAATATTTTAAGTTTAGTTCTTCAAACTTTTGTTTTATTCTGGATATCTTGGGAACAACCAAGCTGTAAGATGCTTGCAAGTGTCTATATTAAAACCCTGGGACTAAATGATTGAAATAGAGGAGCACACGGGTCCACCATTTGGCCTCTGTCTCCAAGTGCTCCCTCCTGTGCTGCTCTGTGGATGCTTTTCTTTGAGATTGTCTTCCTGCAGGTGCACACCATGGCTTACCTTTATAGGTAAAGTAAGGCTTAGATGGCATTTGCACTTTTTATCTACATAAATTAAATTGGAGGGGCTGAGAAGAAACCTCGGCAGTCTAAGTGTCTGCCTGGCAAGCACAAGGACCCAGATTTGATTCCCAGTGCCACCTGCCATTCGGGCCCCGGAACCCTGGGTGCATCCGTGCTGGCCACCAAAACTGGGCATGGTGGCACACGCCTATAATTCCAATGAGAGGATGATCACTATGAATCTGAGCTGCATAGTGAGATCCTGTACCAAAGAAATATAGTCTAAAAATTAAAAAAATAAATTAAATTGGCTTTACGATCAAAGGACTTCTTTATAGCCACAGCATATAATGGGCACATGATTAGAACCTGAATAGCAGCCCCTGCTGGGGATGCTTTCTGTCTTTCACTGCCCTCCAATCACCAAGCAGAAAAGCTTAGACTAGATCCCCTTGTCTCAGGAAAATGTTTCTTGTGGAGAAGGCAGAACTCCCGAGGCATGATGGGATGCAGGGATAGCATTAAGATTCTCAAGGGTTTCTAACAGCCCATGGAAAAGGAAGCATAAGAAGCACAAACCTTTCCTTTTGCAGTCCAGTGTTTGTATGGGGAACACATAATTGTGGCACAGAGTTGAGTCCACCTCGGGCCTGCTGACTGGGGGTCTCCCCGACACTTGGGGTCTCGGATCCAGTTGCTCCTTTTCTTCTTCATTACACAGCTCTTCAGATTTAAGCTGCAGCAGTTTTTTATTTTTCAGTGCTCCTGGGCTTTCACACTTTGCATAGTTCCCCAAATTTCGATTCCTTGGGACTTGCAACATGGAAACGAGCGTTTCTATCTCACAGGTACAGCGCCAAGGGTTGTCGTAAAGACGCAGGTAGCTCAGGAGAGGCATGTAGATGAACACCTCCTCCGTCAAGACTTTGATCTGATTGTGCTGCAGTAAGAGGGTGGTGAGTTTGTTTAAACCAAAGAACGCCTCGCTCTCGATCTTGGAGATCTCATTCTGCTGCAGATCCAGGCTCTTCAGCTTTTTATACTTGGAAAACATGTTGTTCTTTAACACACGGATCTTGTTTCTTGCTAACAGCATGTGCAGCAGGTCTTGAGGCCAGGCAGGTAGGACATACACTAATTTTCTTTCCTGACAGTCTAAGTATTTCTCATGGAGATAAGTGTACACATCGCAGGGGTGGCCTGGTGCATAGCGCTTGACAGGATGGGAGCCCCTCCGGCTCCCCGCTGCCCGCCCATAGGTGGTGCGGCTTCTGGCACTGCCAGGGCCTGCCCTGCGCAGGAGCTCAGTGACTCTGAAGAAGCACAGCAGTAGGACGAGGGTGACCACGCGCATCCTGACATACAGCTGGCCCCGATTCCTGGGTGTGACAGATGGAGCCAGGAAAGTATCCTTTGAAATCCAAGCTTGGACAATCTTAACTAATTCAGTTCAGAAACAGTAAGACCCAGCCTGGGTATGTGGAGTCCCTGGGTTGGAATAAAAAAAACAAATATTAAAAGTTGAAGACCATTGGGAGCACGGGGTGTGACAGAAGGCAAAGGCCTTCTGGTTTGCAAAGGTGCTCATGGAATAGTGGTGTAGAGAGTTCCCTGTCCTCTTGCTTGCCTGGTGGATGGGCCAGATGTCAGGACCAGCGTATGAGCGCACCCTTACCTGCCCGTGATGTTCTGTGACCCCAGCTGTTTGCCTGTAAAATGGGACCAGTGCAACTAAGAGTCTAACTTGAGTGTGTATGCCCCAAGCCTTGCTTTCCTTTCCTTCCTGCCTCCCAGCCAGCAGTCAGGGTGCATATGGCTCGAGAATTCTTGGACAGGATGGCGCCATCTTTGTCATCTCCCACACAGGGGGCTCAAACAGTCACCTCAGGGAAGGCTTGTCCTTAAGGGGTTCTTTAAAATTTCAGCCTTTCCCCCTGACCAGGCACTTCTTATTTTATTGTCATAGAATGTATCAGCATCTGTCAAAGTAGATGTTTTAGTTCTTCTGTATGCTGTTAGTTTCTCTAACTAGAAAAGAAATTCCCTAAAGGAAAGGATTTTTGTCTGTTTCACTCATTACTGTATTTCCTTGATAAATACTTGTTGAATATATGAATTATGCTCATGTAAGTATTCTATTTCATAACATTCATCTTATACACTAACATAATTGGAGAATCTGCTATTTTCTTAAGTTTTACTGGTGACTTCCAAGATCTGCACATTTAAAGAATTGTTTTCTTTTTTTTTAAATTCTGAAAATATTCCTGGTTTGCATTTATCATTTAAGACATAGTCCATTCTTGGCAGAGGAACAAATATTCAAAATGAACTCATAACTAATAACACGTCTGTTGTTGTTAGTGTGGGCCTGTGTGGTGATGAGCTTCAGATGTGCTTTCTATTCATTCTGGTGCTCCAAGGCCAAGACCACCCTGGCCTGCATCTTTCTGCACTGTGGGGTCTCCTCCCCACCTTGGATGTCTCCCCCATTTTACTGGGAATCTCTGTGCCCTGGTTTGTGCATCTGCCCCCTGTGGCACCCAGGCCTCCAACTATGTAGCACTTTGCCATCTGGCTGGCTGTGTGCGTGTCTCATCTGGTCCCAGAGCTAATCAGGATTAAGACTTTCCAACCCTTTACATGTAGGCATGCAATTTATTGTAAACTGTCTATAAGTTGACTAACATAACCTAAAAAATCCATAGTTAATAGCCTGTGTATTATTATGCAAGCTGAAGTATGTGGAAGAAAGTGGCCAGAGTCTGCAACTTACTTTGAAATGCATTTTAAAAAGTAAGATGGGATGAAGAATGGATTGAAAAATGGATGAGTGGGGAGCATGTGATAAAGCAAATAAAATAGAGATAGAGGTATTAATTGTGTTTAAGTTTTTAAAGTGTTTCAATTTTTAAAAAATTATTATTTTTTTCTTTTCAAAGTTTTATTGATAAACATATAGCAATGAGACAGTTTCAAATCAAATCGAAAGTACAGTTTCAACAAATAATACACTGCA